ACCAGCCCGTGTTAATTCTAATTTATTTAATGTGTTAGTTCTAGCGTAAATGTTGGGTCTAAACGTCATGTTAGTTCTAATTTATGTCATGTTAGTTCTAGCTTCTCCAGTGTTAGTTCTAACAGATATCGTGTTAGTTCTAGTTTATTTAAGTCGTTAGTTCTAGCGTAATTGTTGGTTCTAAACGTCATGTTAGTTCTACTTGATGATGTGTTAGTTCTAGCTTCTCCAGTGTCAGTTCTAACAGGTATCATGTTAGTTCTAATTTATTTAATGTGATATTCCTAGCGTAAGTGTTGGGTCTAAACGTTATGTTAGTTCTAATTTATACTATATTAGTTCTACCTTCTCCAATGTTAGTTCTAACCAGTATTGTGTTAGCTCTAATTTATGTAATACGTTATTTCTAGCGTACTTGTTGGTCTAAACACCATGTTAGTTCTACTCGATGATGTGTTAGTTCTAGCTTCTCTAGTGTTAGTTCTATTTGGTATCGTGTTAGTTCTAATTTATTTATGATGTGTTAGTTCTAGCTTCTCTAGTGTTAGTTCTATTTGGTATCGTGTTAGTTCTAATTTATTTAATGCGTTAGTTCTAGTTCTATTTGGTATCGTGTTAGTTCTAATTTATTTAATGCGTTAGTTCTAGCGTAAGTGTTGGGTCTAAAAGCGATGTTAGTTCTAATTTATACCGTGTTAGTTCTACCTTCTCTAGTGTTAGTTCTAACATATATCGTGTTAGTTGTAATTTATTTAAGTCGTTAGTTCTACATAATTATTGGGTCTAAACGCCATGTTAATTCTACTTAATGATGTGTTAGTTCTAGCTTCTCCAGTGTTAGTTCTAACCGGTATCGTGTTAGTTCTAATTTATTTAAGTCGTTAGTTCTAGCGTAATTATTAGGTCTAAACGTCATGTTAGTTCTACTTGATGATGTGTTAGTTCTAGCTTCTCTAGTATCAATTCTAACAGGTACCGTGTCAGTTCTAACAGGAGCTCAACTAGAACTAATATAGCCACTAGAACTAACGCTTAGGGCCCGTTTGTTTGCACAAAAGTAACTATGAAATAGCAGAAGTAGAGGAAGTAGATGCTACTTCTGCTACTTATTGGCAAAAATATATATTTTTTTCTTTGTAAAAACTACTTCCGCTACTTCATTGAAAACTGACGTGGCGTCTACGTGGCACCACTATTTCCTTGATATTTTTCCGTCTTCAAATGTACTGAAATACGATGGAAGTTGATGTAGGGTGGGGTCCACGAAAGAAAAAAGATTCTCAAAATCAAAATTACGGCGGAAGTTGATATGTAATCATAAAATCTTTTTTATAAATATTTTAAAAAAATTATGATAGTGATGTCGTTCATGCATTTTTTGCTTTCGTAGATATAAAAAAATATTATTATTAAAATTGATGAATGTCGTTCATGCATTTTTTGCTTTCGTAGATATAAAAAATATTGTTATTGAAATTTATGAACGACATACTTTTCTGTTGAACATGTGACATATATAAAAGATTTTTTTCCCTTCATAAATTGGAAATATTGTTTTTAATGGAAATTCATAAATTAGAAATAAAGACAATAATAAGAAGAAAACAGTATGATACATGTATAGTAGAAATATATGTGATGCTTTAAAAGAAAGTATAAAGCTTGCAAAATCTGATAGATAATCATCCTCTAGTAAGTGCCTATAGGCACCCGTTAGAAAATCATATTTCATTATCAATTTTTGCCATATATAGTAGCAAAATTGTACTGCGAGTCTCCGACAATTCCGGCTGCAAGAAATCAATTATGTTTTAATATCATTGTAGCAAGAATATTGTGTGTTATAATACTTCTATTTCTATTTCAATGACAATACAAACAAGAATAAAATGGAAGCAACATGTATTAATTACTTCATAGTAATATTTCCAAATATTATCCAAACAAAAAAAGTAAATGAAGAGGAATAAGTTCTACTTCCATTACTTCTAAAAATATATGAAATAAACAAAAAAATGTTATTTCCGCTACTTTCTATTTTATAGTTTTGGAAGTTATTTCCGCAACTTACTTCTTACTTCCAATACTTCCATTATCCAAACAGACCCTTAAATTAGAACCAACACTAGCTGGAAGTAGAACTAATATGAAATCAGCTAGAACTAACACGAGAACAACTAGAACTAACATGAGCTCAACTAGAACTAATATAGCCACTATAACATGATATAAACATATTAGTTCTACTTAAAGTTAGCTCGAACATGAATTAGAACTAAGTTAGAACTAACATAAAATAAGTTAGAACTAATATAAAATAAGGTTTACCACTAGACCAAATAGTCTAAAGTATTTATATTAGTTCTACTTAACATAAGCTCTAACATGAAATAGAACTAAGTTAGAACTAACATAAAATAAGTTAGAAGTAACATTAAATAACTTAGAACTAACATTAAATAACTTAGAACTAACATGAGTTATTGCTCATGATAGAGTTTAAAAAAGGGCGGGAAATTTCCCTCTATTTTTTCCCATCAGATCGCATTAATGGGCGTGACTTTCCATGTATTTTGTGGATCAGACGTCTGGGGAAGATAAGTGGAGGGGTAATTTTGTTTTTTTTTTAAAAATACAATCTCTTTTTTATACTGCTGACGTGGAGGGGTAATTTCGGTTTTTTTTAAAAAATACAATCTCTTTTTTATACTGCTGACGTGGAGGGGCCTTGAAATATTAAATGGTACTTTTTGGGGCTGAATCACATGGGCCAAAATACAAGGGGACGGGTCACATGAACTTTCTCATTTTGGGGCCTGGACACATTTTTTCCTAATTTTAAAGTTAAATATTATATATATATATATATATATAAATATAGACAAATTTAATACACCGTATTAATGTGAAAAGGGTAAAATTGGAACAATTTATTGCATTAATGGTGACTGATTACATTGGAACAATGATACAAATTTAATACACGTCCTTTAATACTCTCTCTTACATTAATAGTGCTACATTCTTTAATACTCTCTCTCTCTAACTCGCTTCTCGATCTCTGTAAATCTCACATGAAGAACACAACAACGCATTGAATCTGGATTCACTGAATTGATCTTCAATCCAGATTCACTCCAATGAATTGAATTTGTATTCACTCCAATCGATTTGCTGCTCCACTGGATTTGTGAATCATTCTAACCATCCAAGCAGAATAAGAAACTTATGGTAAAAAACAAGCTATAAAATTTTATAACATGAAAAATTTTCACCTTTTACAGCAAAAAGTTATGATTTTTATGGTAAAAAACAAACACCTCACATAATTGAATCTGGATTCACTGCAGTGAATCGAGATTCACTGAAGTGAATCTAGATTCACTCATGCGTTTATTGAAGTAAAAACAAGCTGGATTCACTGCAGTGAATCGAGATTCACTGCAGTGAATCGAGATTCACTGCAGTGAATCGAGATTCACTGCAGTGAATCGAGATTCACTGCAGTGAATCGAGATTCACTGCAGTGAATCCCCGATTCACTGCAGTGAATCCCCGATTCACTGCAGTGAATCGCGATTCACTGCAGTGATGGCTGCCTGGGTCACGACGGCGAAGGGCGACCTTTCGTGGCGCGGTGGTGGCGAATGGGTGACGAGTTTCAGAAGCGAGGTCGCGAGGAGGAGGTGAGGCGCGGACTTAGCGTGGAGTTTCACCGCGGGGCTCGTCGGTGACCTTGGTTGACGGGACTCAGCGCGCGCGGGTCGTCGCTGCTGTCGAGCTCAAGCGGGGGGGGGTTGACGACTCGAGTTGGCTGGTTCGCTAGAATGGACGGAGGAGAATGGAGGATGGTCGGTCTTGGAGGACAAGCGAGGGTGCAGGCGGAACTAGAGTCGTGTCCTGAGCTTGCTTTGCGCGCGTGGAAGCTTGTTGTTCGATGCGGCACGAGAGAGAGAACGAGAGAGAGATACTGTAGCGGAGAGAGAATAGTTGTTTCTTTGGAGCTCATGACGAACCTTCAACTGAAGAGAGGTGGACTTTTGGGAAACTCATACAGTCACATTAATTACTCTCTTGGAGCTGATAACTTTACGCTGACTTACCCTTACAGCATTAATTGTCTGTATAATCCCTACCTGAATGACTCTCAATCCAACGAGTCGAAGGGTTTTTAGTTTTCTGAGGATAGTGAGTTTTTATTGAACTTGCCCTATGATATCTTTTATATATTATATATATCTAGTAATAATTAGTGGTAGTAATATATATATATATAGAGTATTAGTGCTAGTATATAGTATATAGTAGTATATATATAATATATACTCAATATAGTATATGTATATATATAGAGAGAGAGAGAGAGAAGAGAGAGACGAGAGAATATAATGCAGATATCCTGCTCATAGGAGGGGATTTTCCTCTGACGCATAGATGACAATCCAACATCACTATAAGGTATGTGAGAGAGTGTGGGTGTGAATTGGGTGGATTTGTCGTCTACTTTATAGATGGTGGGAATTGTGCCACATGCCGACAAGAGAAAAATCCTCTTCTTATGACAAGGATAATAATTAATCTCAGAGCTATTCATTTCTCTATATCTCTCTCCTCTTCTATAAAGTGCCCATGAGCACTCTATAGAAAAAACCGTATATATATATATAATATATCAATCGCGTTTTTTAAATTGATTGTACAAGTGCATGTACTGAATTACTCATTATGCTGATTTAATTAGAATTAATAGCATTAAATTTATCACTTTGTCCGCCGTTTAGGTTTTATATGTAAGCTTTTTGTTTTTTCTTTTTTTTTTCCAGATCGATGGAACTGTTTATTCTCAACCATTAGCTGATCACGTTTCCCATGACACATGGAATAGCACCTTCTCAATCAACGGGCTCATCACGTGTCACTGACACATGTAATAACACCATAAGGCTAAAGGACAGCACTTCATGAATTCAATTAATTAATAATCTCAATTATAACTCAACTTGGGAAGATATAAACTCTTATCATTTAATGTGCACACTTGATCGAATAGTTGGGTGATATCCTAAATTACATATGACCCAAACACAAATCTTGAAAATAGTTAAAACCTATAAATAAAAATTTATAATTGGACAAAAAAGAGTAGGAAAATTTTTTTTTTTTTTTGAAGAAACACATTCTGTTTTTTCCACATTTATGTTCTATTTAAATTCAGTTTTGTTCCGCCTTGTTCCAGATTTCTTCAAGTTCTCTGGTAAATGCTCTTTGTCTACCGACAATGACAGTGATATGGTCCTTTTTCTCGATGATCTTGATGTCGGCTCGGGGAATTCTTGACTTGACCGCGATACTACAGTCAACTGGAAGGAGTTCATCATCCCTCCCATGGATAACAGTAACATTGCAACGAAGCCGATCCCTAACAGTATCTAAATAACTATCGATCTTACTTGCACTGCCGCAGATGATATTATGCAAGGTGTGCCAGGCTGCATTGTGTGTGTGGCAGAAGAAGCCCTCCATCAAAAAAGTTTTAAATCTGTACATGTCATATAAAAAAAAAAACATGCAAAATTAATTAGTTGACATCAATGAACTATATGTTCTATAACGGTAAAGTTTTTCTATAACAATAATGGTAACAACAATGTTGATACGTAAATTTTCTCATCAGAGGCGAGTAACAATAAATTTGTCAGGGCATAAATGTTATGTAAAAGAAGAGAAAATTTGTTGCAAATACTTAATTATGAAGGGAGCTTAATTTCATCAATTTTAATTTGGCAATTTAATCTGGCGAAGGCTAAGTACGTAGGACCCATGATAGAGAAGTTTCCTAGTTAGAGAAGTTAAAAGGCTAGACCATCCTCTTGACTTAATTAGACCCAGTGTTTGGTTTTGGTCTGGGATGGTGAACCAAACTACCAACATTGCCCATGAAACCCTCAGGTGGTTCACCATCCAAAACGTTTTTTTTCCGGCAGCCTATTTACTACCACACTCAATTAAGTTTGCTCATTTTATAATTGGTAATAGTTTATTAAAAAAACATAATGGAAACAATTTAAGATTTTGAACCTGCTATATAGAGTAAATTCGATCATATTCTTCGTAAATAAACAATAGAAGAAAAAAAATTCGGTTCAGACAACTGTCATTAACATTTGAATGATTATGATTCATTTTAAATATACGTAAGCTATATTAAATGATAAATGATTGTGGATTTGATGTTGCTTATTTATAGTGAAGATGATTTCCAATACTATATAAAAAAACCAACATAAAAAAAGAGAGGGGTTTCTTACTTGTAGCTTAACCTTGTTCCACTCTTACCAATTATCACACTTTACATGGTTAATTTCGGAATAGCTAGAATTTCTCTATCTTGGCATAGCCTAGCCCTACTTCATTAATGTGATTAACCACAATTCTTCTATTTTGTACTATTTTGGTACAACTAACTAATACTTTCTCATTGGAACATTTATTTAAGTTAAAAGCAGTACGTGGACATACGATTAGTGGTGTATAAGGTTTTGGGCAGCCTATGCTCTAATTTATGTTTGTTAAGTACAAGTCCTTAGCTTCATTGTTTCACTAATATATCTTTATTTTTTATTTTTGAAAAAAAAAATCACGATAAGGTTAAATGTTATTTGAATTCTCAATATGATGCCATATATAGGGTTTCAAAGACATTTGCATTGATATTTAAATTTAGTATAAGGAAATTTTATCCTCAAATATAAAGGTAGTCTACGATGCATGTTAGACTGTATATAATTTTTTGTAAATTTCACAAACTTCCTTTAACTTTGGGGTTCTCAGAAAACCCCCTTCACTTTTGAAGGCTTTATTGTGACATTTTGGAAGTTACGGAGTTTTAAGTTAAAAACACCCACATTTTAAGGGGGCTGCACAAAGCTCCCTCTTAAATTAAATTGAAAGTTAGTAACGCCGTTACTGGGGAGTGGGGGTTATTTGAGAAGTGCCCAAACTTGGGGGGCGTTGCCGGGTGGGTGTGTTGGGAAATTTAACCTATAAATTTCATTTGTGACAAATTACAACTATTGATCAAAGTAAAGCGTTAAAAATTACCTATGGGTTCCCGCACGCAGTTTGAGATGAAGAGAAGACGATAAATATTATTATCCGAGTCAAGAAGGATTGTCTCAAACAAATGAAACACCCAAACAAGCATTAATCTTCACATTGAAAGATTTTACTTCTTTTGTCTTTCTAATTTTCCCCTCTAAATAAAAACTATTGCTTGGCCCAAAACTTGGAATCTCTAATAAGATCCCCATTCTACTAGTGGGCCAAATGTCATTAGTGATTAAGAACCACTGATTGAGACATCAGCATTACCTGGAAGCAGTTAGATGAAGTGCTTACGCTACGTACCCTTCCAGAAATTGATAACATACTAAGTTTAAATATCATACCATAAATGTTGCTGATCAAAGAATTTCTCGCAAGAGGAAAGTATAACATGTATAGAAACGCATGGTATTTATGTAATTAAGAGTTTTCTATACATTTCTATAAACTGTGTTTGGCTCCAAAAAAATTTACAGAAATGTTTTCTGTAAAGTGCCCAAAAGTACCAAATTTTATGGAAATTGATTTCCTTCTAAAATGGGAGGAAATCTCTTGGAAATCTGACGCATTCATTATTTAAATAATAAAACTCATTAACTCTTTTCTACAAAGTTCTCACTTTTCTATAAAGTTGGTGGTGTTTGGTTACATTTCTATAAATTATAGGAAATGTTGCTATTTTCCCAAAAGTTATTTCTCATTTTCTTGTTTTGAACCAAACAAGCACAATACAAAAAATAAGAAAATTTGTACTTTTTATCTTCTCAAAACTTTTCCTATAATTTTTTTAAGAAATACAAGGAAATTAAATTTGGGATGGAAAACATTTCCTATAATTTATAGAAATGTAACCAAACACCCCCTAATAGTAGATTGACATTTAATTAGTCTATTTTAAGGTTTTTTTCACATTAGTCCCTTACGTTCTTTAATATTTTAAAATTGCCCCCCCCCCCTAAGTTGTTTCAAAATTAGCCCGTCAAACCATTGAAATTGCAATTAGGTTAGTTTCAAATTAATCCATCCAATTAAATGTAGCACCTAAATATCAAATTCAATGATATTAACGACGCAAGGGGCTAGTCTAATGCAAACCCTGCTCTTGAGCATTAGAGATCGATTATCAAATCCAAAGAGTTGGGGGTTTAATGCACACTATTGAACTTCTCAACCTTTAGGACAAAAAATCTTAAAAAAAAAAAGAAAAAAAAAAGAGAGGCCAGCTATGGCTCAGTCCCACCTAGATCTACCCACGAGTCGAGCAGTATTCCACCCCAAGCGACATAACAATTTCCTAATTTCCCACCTAAACCTACCCACCTCTAGCTATCTGCATTTATTAACTAACCAATGCTCATAAAGGGAGAACGCAGCAGCAGTAATTAAACAAGCCAAGCCCCAGTAAATAATACAACAGTTACCTGTTCCTGGTGATGAACTTGAAGAGGAACTCCCAGATCCTGTGATTCTTGCATATCAGCAAGCATATCGTCCTGCTTATGTGCTCATACCAGCACGCCAGCGACGCCCCGAACGCTATCACCGGCCACACCCTCCTCGGCGCCACTCGCCGGAGCACGAACTGCGTCCCCTGCTCCCCTTTTGGTACCGGAAAATACGGCTAAGAGACGCACATTTTAGAAAAAAATAATTAATTAATATCGAACCGTAATTAATTAACATTCAAATAATTAATTAATATCTATACTGAGATACTCTGGATATCCGAATGCTGGCAGGTGCGTTGCTGACGTGGTCAGAAGTAACTCTTTAGCCTCTAAACTAACTTAGTTGAAAAGCCAACTAAATTTTCGTCTGAATTTAGGAAATTCTCATGTGACAACTTAATTATGTATGGAGAGAGAACAGCCTTCAAACGTAAACGGATCTTCCCTCTTGATCACCGACAACAGCGAGCGTACTGAATTATTAATTACTAATGCGACCGTACAGAGATAGAATCATTACTCACCGGCGCCAGTAGAGTCAGCGACTTGACCGCGTCAGGATGCTTGACCGCAATCGCTAAGGCCAGAATAGATCCGAGAGAATGGGCTACGATGTGGAAAGCCTTCACGTTGTGATTCTCGATCACCGACTTCTCTATCATGTCTACGTGCTCCCTCAGCGTGTACAAGGAGTCGGCCGGCTTCGGCCCGGTCCGAACCCAGCAATTCACGCGAAAAGCCGTATTTCGACCTCGTCCGCTCCGAAAAGTTCGGAAACACCGTCTCCGTCCAGAATTTCGACGAGGATATGAAGCCGTGGATGAACAGCACGTCTTCCTTCGGGACTGAGCTATCTAGAAATAAGGATTTTTTTTTTTTCGGGCGTTCAGTCCCCGGCCGTATATAGTGATGGTGGGAGTCCCGGGGGAGGGATAGAAAATTACCTTTAGGCCCCTGTACGTGGACGTAGAGGAGGGAGTTCCTTGACTGTGGCTGCTGGCTCCAGAGTTGCAGCATCTTGCAGCTGCAGTCCGACCACGCGTTCGGGGCGCTGCTGCCGCCGAGTCCCCCCTGCAGCATCTGCCAACGTCGCTGGAGTTTTATCGTGGGAAGGCGTGGTGAGCGTCGACTTCTTCGCGGAGGCGGCCCGCCCTGCGGTTGAGCCGCCTGAGCTCCTCGACGGTGGCGCGGAGACACGTCTGACACGAGGGAGGGCCGAGAGTACAGGTGTCGGAGACTTGTCTCGAGCTGGACTTCGACGACGAGCAGAGGCACACGACCTTCGACGACCCTCCGCCTCGACACGAGGATCTTGCCGCTGCGGGGTGATCATGTCCTTGGCGGACGACGAGCAGTAGCACGCTTCCACTCCGCCTCCTTGGCGTAGTCGGCGAGCTTGTAGACGAAGCATAGGAGCACGTCGAGGATGGGGTCGAGGCCCCACCGAGAACACGACGAAGCTGACCACCTCGTTCGCGAGGCGGCCAGCGAACGCCAGCATCAGCAGCAATCTCGTCGGCATTGAGGTCTCCTCCGCTTCCCCCCACCCCCACCTTGCTCCTTTGTTCTGGGTTTGTGAGACTAGCTAGTTAAGGAGTCTGGGGGATGTGTTTAAGAGTGAGGGAGGGGCAAGAGATGAAATGAATTGATTGTTTCATTAAAACCGTTTGTTGGACAATAGGAAAAGGGGTGGGTGGTAGTTGAACTCCCTCGGCCAACATTTTCCTTTGCCCAACCATAGGGTGCTATATATGCAATATGTACAAAGTATATGAGCATGATCGAGTTTGGGCGTGGACGAATAAATATGAGCTTTGCTACAGGGACCCAAAATATGGGACCAATAGGGGGGACAAGTGATGTGTCCCCTTCCTATTGGATAATGAGTTGGTTATCATTAATGATTGCCAACTCATTATCCAATAGGAGGGGGACACCTCACTTGTCCCCCCTATTGGTCCCATATTTTGGGTCATTGAGGAATTTTTCAATAAATATTTAGGGGTGGGGGGCGATAGAGTAAATGAGGGGGAATTATGAGAACGCACTCCATTTCTTTAGGCTTACATGCATGACTATGGGGGATTAATAATGTTTGGATATTGAGGCAAGTAAGTAATCTTTGCTCGCTTTGGATTTCTTGGAAGTTTGATGGTGTGGAGAAAATCTCGCTTTAGCCTCTCTAACTATAGAATCATCTATTGCTCATAAACATTTAACTAAATTAGTTTGTCTCTCATTTCCTCTCTCTCTCCCCCTCTCCCTCTCTGAGGGAGTTAAAAAAAGAGGTTAAGAGTTTAAATCTAGCTAGCCTATTGATTTGTGTGATCCTGACTTGTGTACGTCAAGCCCTCTCATTTATAAGCTGCATATATTTGTTACAAGCGTGTTACGTCCATTCAAAATGAATTATGGGGATCTAGTCTAGCTAGCAAAGATATGATTTGAGATTTAGTCTGGCGTTTGAAGAATAGTCATGAGGTAAGTTAAGTCAAATATATGGTTGGGGGTCATAATGACGCTTGACTGAGTTTGTATCCTTTGAGTCATGCTGCATGTACCCAAGCATATATATTAGGATGACCAACCTCGATCTAACATTTGTAAACCTTTGATACTTGTTACAATGGATCAGGGCTCAAGACTCTGCTACATGTTAAGTTGAGAAGTTAAACCTCTTCCAGCCGCTGAGTTTGAGCTTGACGGAATCTAAGCTAGCTAAAGCAAACGTTTGTGAGAGACTATACATGAGTCTGAAGTGACACGCTTGTCATAGCTTAATTAATAATACATTATTCACAACTTTGCAGACAAAACTTTATACATAAGCTCCCTTACAAGATTAAATTTTCATAAAAACTAAATAAATAGAGAATCAGTCTAATTTAACTCGGTGCTGACTTTGTGTGTGCGCATTAACACATGCACATAGACGAAGCAATTAAGAGAGATATGGTAATGGGGTTTCAAACAATTAGTTCTTAAATTGAATGGAACAAAGTTTATGTAGCCATGCAGACCAAAAAATTTTTGAATAAAGGTTTTGTTGTTGATGTTGTTGTGCATTAACACTCTCAAGTATAATTGTATAAACAAATGATCTTATCAAGTTAATTGATAAAAAACACAACTAAAATGTAAATTCGAGATGGAAAAGCGAAGAGAAGCCAAAAACATTCTTGGCATGGAGAGTAAGAGCGAGAAGATATATTGTGGGCACTTTTACGTACTAAAAGATATCAAAACCTATTCATATTCTCTTTATCACCATTGCTTGGCATAGCACTCCTAACTTCAGATATAGGCAGATGAGGATATGTCACGCCCCGATAGCGTAGCGAAAATTCATAAACACGGGTTACGCAACAGCAGCGATCCATGCACAAGACAAGTCTTATGCATGAGTCAAGCTTGGTACTTCATATCACATAGTTTATCACAAAATATTTATAAACCTGCTGATGATAGAAGTTCAGAGCAACTATATTTATGTATATAATCAGTACTTACAACCCACAAGCACACCGTTATAAGCATTTTACAAAATAAAACACATTCTTGACTATATGTAACATTAAAAAAGGAGGCTTCTCATATAACGCCTCTCAGCAAAGTGCCACAACCAAAAGTTTGGCTATTATGACGCTACGCCAGATCTGAATTTTTTTTAAAAACAACGGGGTGAGCTAGAGCTCAATGAGAACATTTCCCACTAGAGTTCCTAGATAACTAACAAAATAATAATAAGAATAGTTCCCAGAAATAACGAATTATAAGTTTTGCATCAGAAATTCAAAAATAGCAAAATACCATCCAAATATCATAATATTGTTGTCTTCAAGAAAGAATGCAATAATTATACATTTTTTACTTATGTGCAACTGAATATACTGTGATATTTCCTAGAATCAAACCCTTTTTGAATCAATATAAACATTATGAAAGAAAAGAACTACTAATTTGTATAAAACCAGAGGATTATTATTTTCTCAATTTCACAGTCAATTGTCAAAATCTTAATTCTCGATGAGTTATTCATGAATGTCCTCATAGGTCACACTAAGGCTATAAATTATAGCCCAGTAACATGAGAATGCGAAAATTACATCACATAACAGATAATTCCCGGGAATCAAATACACCTAACACTGCCATAGCTTACTGACCAAATACAGAGGGATCAGAATAAATTTCAGAAGGGCCAATACAGAGGGGCCAATACAAAGTAGCCAAATAAAGGTGTATTCACCATATGACAGGTAGAATAACTCCATAATAAACTTTTTGAGGGTTTGAAACATTGAGGATCACTTGTCAAATGAGTAATACCTTGTGTATCAGAATTTATGGATATTTTTAAATGAAATGGACAAGGTAAAACTCCTCATCCCGGTTAAAACAGTTTATGGATTTTTTTACTTTTCTTTATTTTTATCAAATGCTAAGTCATAGAAAACTTTTGAATCCCTTAAGCTGTTGAAATACATTCAAAATACTTCATCAAAAACTTTCAGATAAAGTACTACCCACAATTATTAGAAACTACATGACAGCTAAAATCACTTTTTATATTTTATATAAAATCAAATTTACTTTTCATATCTTGTACGAGGATAACATCGTATTATAGGATAGACCACAACAGAAATAGATGAAATCACATTTAACTTTCATATACATGAAAGATAATAGACTATTTATTTTTCGAGCACAAGATTATTCAAACATCGTACAATGTACTCATGCAATTATATATCGTAAAAATATATACTAGTGAGAAATGAACTCACTTCTAGTGGACATGACTTCCCCAAAATATTATTTCCCCTAGATATCAACCAAATCATATAATATAAGATATAATACTTATTATTAATTCAGGACAAACATATATTATAGGTAAATCAATTAATAATTTAGAGCCTAATAAATTCAAATATAATCAATAATAATCAAATTCTATGGTACATGTGAGCTTATTACTAACTTTAGTAATTTATCAAAAATTTCTAACTCTCATACACTAGCTTTTGGACTTCCTAATAATTAATGATAAGGCAGGGGTTATAGGGAATTTATCAAGTCTAAAAGTTATCTTTTATTCTTTAGATTGGACTTGTTCACAAACTGAGTAAATGACAGGTTCCCATCCTTTTTATCTTTGGACCTATATACAACCTAAAAAATTTTCAGGGGTCCCAAGGAAATTTTGCTATTTAACTATATTTCCCCTTTCTCTCTCCTCTCTCTCCCATGGCTAGTCGGCGCGGCTGCTCAAGTTCTGCCGTCGAAGCGGCCATCCGAGGGCGAGGTTCCCCTGGTGTGACGCCCCTGGGTTCACACAAGGTTGCAGTCCTCGGTGAAACCAAGAATGTCAAACCTGCCATGCACCACACCGTGCAATAACATGTTTCACCATCACAATTAACATCTCTCTAGTAGAGTGTTTGTTGGAAAATTTGTAATAAGAAAAATAAGGAAAGAACTGTATCTGATTTTATTCTCTCTAACTGCTTAGAAAAAGAATGATTACAATTCTCTCAACTCTCGATTACAATTTGGATTCCTGATTACAAAAGAGAAGAGAATGATCTGGATTCTCCCCTTTGTTTAATTCTGGGTTCTTCACGGTGGCGATGGAGTGCTTCCTTCGAATGCTTGCGTCGAACTTGCTCTCCGTTGACGATCCGATGTCTTGTTTCACTGGAGCGTGGTATTCTCCTCACGATTTGACGTTGTGGAGAACTCTGAACGAGTTTAAAACTCTATGAAAGAGTTGATTTAACCGAAAGTCGGTTATAAGCCAAGGATGAAGAAGATCTTGTTGCCGATCTCCAAAGCTCCAATCGAAGGATGAAGGATCCTCTTTTCGCTGCCAAGAAGTTCCAACCGAACCCACCTAAAACCCGCCCTTGAACTGAATTGATTTTCAGTTATTTATAGGGGATTAAGGGGTGTAACCACCTCCTTAATTCGCTCCTAAGTGGGGCTAATGGGATGTAACCGCCCCTTAAATCACTCCTGAGTGGAGTTGTGATCCCCTCAGATCGTGAGAAATGGTTTTGGAACTGTTCAGCTCGTGTTTGAACGAGTCAAACGCAGGCCCGCGTTCTGACGTGAATTCTGCATTCAAACGCAGTGTCTGGAAGCTTGAACGCAGTGTCTGAAAGCTCGGACGCAGCGGCTGGAAGCTGCGTTTGGCAGCTGATGGAAGCTGCGTTCGGTAGCTTGGAAGTTGCGTTTGGCAGCGGATGGAAGCTGCGTTTGGCAGCTGATGGAAGCTGCGTTTGGTAGCGGTATAGAGCTGCGTTGGGCAGCGCTTGGAGCTGCGTTGGGCAGCGGTTGGAGCTGTGTTGAGCAGCTGCGTTGGGCAGCGCTTGGAGCTGGGTTGGGCAGCGGGCTGCATTTGAGCTGCGTTCGTGGCTATGAACGTGGCGCATCTTGATGCTGGTACGTGGGGAGGACTTCCACGTCTTGGTTTGAAGAGACCGTCGATTTGTAGTCTCTTTCTGTCGAAGCGTTGCAAAGATCGTCATTTTGTAATCTTTGCTTTAGCTCTCTGATATGTGAGAGTCGTCAGGTTGTAACTCCCGATGTTGATTATGGAGGCTGTTTGATTAGAGCTTCCATCAGTTGTCGTGAAGGTCGTCAGATTATAACCTTTAGCGATCTACGTGAAAGTCTTCAAATTGTAACCTTCTGGAAGTCGTCAGAGTGTAACTTCC